GTGCAGTTCTTCCAGTTTTTGTCAAATTTTTTTGAGCACTTTGCCAATAAGGGAGTCTTAGTTTGTGAGCGCTGGGAAACAGACTAGTTGGTCAAAGGCTCCTTGCACCATAACCTCCTCAAAGAGGTGTAGTGGTTATGGTGTAAACAGTGATCCTTTAATCTGTTTCATTCTCACTATTTATACGTTATTAAATGTGCACTCAATTTTGAATTTTTTTTTTTTACTAATGTGAATAAAAATACCCTATATGATATGAAGGATATACAGCAGATTTATGAATAATTATATATTTTATACAAATATATATATATATATATATATATATTATTGTCATTAGTATAATGCATACAGAGCTAGGAAATGGTTATTACGAGATTCACGGTCTCTTAAAGAATAGTGGTGCAATCACCATGAAAACCAGTGCAGTCAGCAGTAACATTCCATTGGTTGCAGGTCCTGTTCACCAGCCTACACTCCATTTCCCAGAATTCTGTGGGAATTGTGGTCTAACTACTTGTGGAGGGACAAAGTTTGACATATGAGAAATAAATGAAAGTCAATTGTAAATCGTTCATGTTACAAAATCATTTATGGTCCTGCTTTAAAAGATGTGAAGTGTATGCTGTGAATTTCACTTGTAAAATATACTTTTTGACTTTGGGTTTAAATTGCTTTTATTTGTGGATTTTACGTCACCCGTAGTGGAATATTAATGTTTACAAATACTTGTACTGTTTCATTTTTTCTGCATTTATAAAACAGACCACTTATCTAGCTCTCATAAATATGGGTGTAGGAGCCAGCGAGCTCCATTTTGTTTTTAAAGCTCTGTTAATCTCTTCCATTTTGTTGTTGTTGCTAACTCTGCAGAGATCTGTACATCTCTCGATAGATGCCTCCAGCGGGATATGTCTAAAGTCCGATTCTGGGGCTAGGTTCTAAAAGTAGAGCTACTACCATGGAAACCAATGGTATGTTCCTGCTTAATGCTCAACTTTTATGATTTGTTCACAATCCCCAATCTATTCTAATATAAAAGAATATTTACGTGGAGTCTTATTGTCAAACCCAGGGACACAAGCTAAACCCTGTCATGATAATTCCAAGGTCTAACCACTATAAGCTCATGGATTGTATACCAAAACCAGAAGAAGGTTCCAAAGTTGGTCATTTCAGGCAGGAAATTGAAAAATAATTACATTTCTATCAATGCAGGTAGATGGGGAGGGAAGGTCAAGGGAGAAGCCCATTACCTCAGTTGCTGTAATTAGTGCACAGAATTAATATTAGGCTGCCTAAGTCACATGTGCCGTGGTTGCAACTAGCCACTGGTATAAAAGTGCAGACAAGGCCAGCCTAAGGCCAAAAGATCTTCACAGAGCCCTTCCCTGGCCACATCCCCAAATCCATGACAGGTGTATAGTCGCCATTTTGGGCAGTCGGAATCCAGGACAATAACCCCATAACCTAACCCAATAACGCACGGACACTAAGGGATATGGGGAAATTTGTCCACAGCTTTATTAAGCAAACAATAATAATAACAATAATAATAATAATAATAACTTAACAAGTAACACATGGGTCATTGCCCCCCATACTCCGCCCTCACATCCTATTCCTTCCATTAACATATAAAGGGCAATGACCCCCATATAAATAAACATATATATATAACATACATCAACATTATTCCAATCGATGTAAAGTGCCAACCATCCATTAGCCACGGCAGGGGTATACCCGGATACCCCTACCCCACCAGGTTCTGAGCCACCGACAGGACTCGAAACCTATCAACCACCGATGACCACCACTTGTTTGTTTTCCATTACGTTCATCCTGGGGAGCCTATTTCCTTTCCTTCAGCTCCCCATCCCGCCGCTGTGAAAAAACGGTACAAAACCACACATAACAAAACAGGGAGGGTGGGAGGGACAAACTTAACCAGGTAGGAAATTAGAATGACTTACCTAAAATGGCTGCCCATTTAAATAACCAAACCTACTTACCCATAACTCCACTCCCTTGCTTACTTCCTCCTAAGCCCGCCTCCTAACCCCTGTCAAGGCCTTTTTCCGCTTAGCTGCGCCTGGCTACATGGGGCTACATGACAGGTGTATAGTCGCCATTTTGGGCAGTCGGAATCCAGGACAATAACCCCATAACCTAACCCAATAACGCACGGACACTAAGGGATATGGGGAAATTTGTCCACAGCTTTATTAAGCAAACAATAATAATAACAATAATAATAATAATAATAACTTAACAAGTAACACATGGGTCATTGCCCCCCATACTCCGCCCTCACATCCTATTCCTTCCATTAACATATAAAGGGCCATGACCCCCATATAAATAAACATATATAATAACATACATCAACATTATTCCAATCGATGTAAAGTGCCAACCATCCATTAGCCACGGCAGGGGTATACCCGGATACCCCTACCCCACCAGGTTCTGAGCCACCGACAGGACTCGAAACCTATCAACCACCGATGACCACCACTTGTTTGTTTTCCATTACGTTCATCCTGGGGAGCCTATTTCCTTTCCTTCAGCTCCCCATCCCGCCATAAGCTCAGACCTTGACCCCTTAAGCCGTCTGAGCTCCGCCACCCCGAAGAAACAGCGCCCGCTGCATACCAACCTGCCAACCCAAATTTAGCAGATCCCAACCCACCTCCGAAAGATGAACCCCGTCCGAGCGGTAATACCCCGGCAACCCCTCTTCCAACTCGCTGTGTCGTACCACCACGCCCCCCACCTTCCTAACAAAGCTTGCCATCAAGCTGTTCACTTTCTTCCTGCATTGATTGATAGCCACCGGATCCCGCGCGTGCCGCCACCGACGCCTTGGGACAATCTCCGCCCACACCAACATAACTCCCGGAAGCAGGTCCCTCAGTTTGTTGATGTCCTGACTCATCCATTTTACCAACCGACGTTGCGGCGTAAGGCCCAAGTCGTTACCCCCGGCATGAAGGACCACCATGTCCGGCGTTTTCCCGCCTGCAACCATCCTAAACATTGCCCCACAAACCTCCCCCCAGCAAAATCCCCGGTACCCAAACCATCGGACTGCCAACTGGTCCTTCGGAAAGCCCAGCTGCTGGCCCTGCGTTCGAGCTGCGGCCCTCCTCTCGGCCCAGAAGACAAAAGAATGTCCCACAATCCAAGCAACCCGTCCTGGGGAGAAGAAGAAAACAAGCGTGAGGGAAAGGCAAAGGGAAACTCCCCCGTTCATGCCCGCCCCGTACCTTATATATACATAGATATATATAGACACATATACATACGCATACATGTACACACACTTTTTTATTTTTTTATTTTTTATTATTATTCCAATAAGCCCAACCGTACATATGAGCGGAACAGCACCGACTCCCATCTCCCTATGCGCTTCACGACCTCATCTCCTAGTCCCAACCGTGCGGCCTCCGTGGCTGCCCCAATGCGAAAGGAGTGAGTACCAAAACGTCCGGCCGGAAGCCCCAACTTACCTAGTCCCGACCGAAAAACCTTTGTAAACTGGAATCGGGACAGGGAAGAACCATCCGCATGCACCAAGAAAGAACCCCCTACCGCCGGCCTCCGGGCCATGTACTCCGCCACTGCAGCCACCGGGCACAATACTGTGCCCGGTAGGGCCCATAGTGTTACGTCCCGACCCACGCCGCAGACGTCTGTTTTTGATTTACCCAGATGCACAACCACCTTACCCTCCAAAACACGAACCCCCGAGGCCTGCAAACCCCCGGGCACGACCCTACTGGCACTCACTAGCTCCCCCACGCGGAACGCCCCGAAGAATGCCAGGAGAAAGGCCGCTCTGAACAAAGAGACCTCGAACCCGTTGAAGCAAATTACCGGCAACAGACCCACCAGATCCCCCAACACCCGCACAGACACCGGGCGCCTAGAGTAACATGACCTGCGGCCCTTTCGATAACCCTTCAATGCCTGCCGGACTAGGAAGGTCTTGGTCAGATCCTCCTTCCCGCGCCACCGGAACCAGAATGCCATTGCCGCCATGGACCTGTCGACCACTGCCGGGGACGCCCCCTTTGCCAGCAATTGACAGGTGTACCACAGAAAAGCGTCTCGCAGCGCATCCCCTTGTAAGACATGACCCAACCCGTCCAATGACCGTTCCCAAGAGTCCCAGACCTTACTGTAGGAGGCCCATGTGGCCGGTGCCAGCGAAGCCTTCACAAGTCCCCCAAGCAGGATGCTCCCAGCTGCCATATCTCGTCCGGGCAAGCCTGCCCCTCCTTCAATGCCCCTGGCGCCATCATCCAAAATCGGGACCACTGAAAACGAGACAGAGCGTCAGCCACTTCGTTCAGGTACCCAGGGACATGACGCGCGCGAAAAACAACATTCCGTGACATACACATTAACACAAAGCGCCGCAGCAACCTAACCACCGGCTTAGAGGCAGCCGATTGATTATTCACCGCGTGCACCACCGCCATGTTATCCGAGAAAAAGACCACTTTCTGGTCCCGGAGCCCCTCGCCCCACAGTGCCATTGCAACGACCAACGGTAATAATTCCAGAAAAGCCAGGTTGCGCATGACCGGGCTGGACCCCCATGTCTCCGGCCACCGCTCCGCGCACCATCTCCCGCCGAAGTAGGCTCCGAAGCCCACACTACCCGACGCATCCGTGAAGAGCTCCAGCTCCGCCGCAGACTTACCTGCCTGCCGGAAAAACACCGCCCCGTTGAAATCCTGCAGGAAGGCATCCCAAACGCCCAAATCAGCCCTCATGGCTGCCGACACCCGTATGAAGTGGTGTGGGGATCGAACCCCTGCCGTAGCAGCCGCCAGGCTGCGGCTGAAAACCCTCCCCATAGGAATTACACGGCATGCAAAGTTCAGCATCCCGATCAACGACTGCAGTTGCCGCAGCGTAACCTTGTGCGCAACGGCCACCGCAGCCACTGCATCTCTGAGCCCCTCCAGCTTGTCCCGGGGCAGCCGGCATTCACCCAAGACCGAATCTATTTCCAACCCCAGGAAACTAAGGCACGTCGCCGAGCCCTCCGTCTTATCCGCAGCCAGCGGCACCCCGAAGTGGCCCGCCACCCATTCCATGGTCCTAAGCAGTTGCTGGCACGCCGAGGAGGCAGCCGGCCCCACGCAAAGGAAATCGTCCAAGTAGTGCACTACTGAACGGCTCCCTGCCTCCACCCGCACCACCCATTCGAGAAAAGTACTAAACTTCTCGAAATAGGAGCATGAAATGGAACAGCCCATTGGGAGGCACAAGTCCACGAAATACTTCCCCTCGAAAAAACATCCCAGCAGGTGGTGACAGTCCGGGTGGACTGGCAGCAGCCGAAACGCTGCCTCAACATCCACTTTGGCCATAAGTGCCCCATGCCCGGCCCGTTTTACCAGCTCGACCGCCCGGTCGAATGATGCATACGAGACCGAGCACAAGTCCTTATCAATACCGTCATTCACCGACTCCCCTTTCGGGTAGGAGAGGTGGTGAATGAGCCGGAACTTCCCCGGCTCCTTCTTTGGCACCACCCCGAGAGGGGAAACCCGGAGGCCCTCCAATGGGGGTACCGTGAACGGGCCCGCCATTCGCCCTAGCTTAACCTCCTTGTCTAGTTTTTCCCGTACCACCCCCGGGAAATCCGCCACCGACTTCAGGTTGCGCAACCCCCCCGATCCCCCCTGCTCCCGGAAGGGGATAAAGAAACCGCGCCCGAAGCCCTCCCGAAGTACCGAGGCATCAGTCCTGTTACCGTAGCGGCTTAGCCACGGCTCCATCGCGTCTAGCCTCACCGGTGTGAAGCCCCGGGGCAGGGGAAGCACTCCCTCCGGCCCCGGCGGCTGCTCCGGCGGTTCCCGCCTTCCCTTTTTTGAAACAGCGATTGAGCCCATGAGCACCCCCGCAACCGGAGCACTCGTGCTTAAATCGACATGCGGTTCCCCATTTGCACTGGCCCTCGTTGTAGAGCCAGCAGAAGCCCTTTTGTAAAGCGGCCGACAAGGCGGACTGCCCCTTCGCGCCGGCCGAGTTTTGAAAGGGCTGCGCCTTCTGAGCCATCATTAGCTTCATCCAGAGAGTCAGATCCATCTGATCCCACCTCATACCCGGGTTAGCCGCCAGTCGCTGCCTGAACTGTTCATCGAGCACGCTGGCCAACACGCAAAACGCCCTCAACCAGTTACCAAAGGATTTCGGGATCTTACGATACCGCTTCCTTTTTTCCTCCTCCTCCTTCTTCTCATCCTTCTTATCATCCTCTTTGAGGTCAATAAAGTCCTCCAAGGGGAGCAGGGAGAAGATCTCGCAAAACTCACCTTTCCAGAGCTTCTCTTTCACGTCCTGTTTCAGATGAACCCCCAGGGGGCCCGCAAACGAGACGTACGCGTGCTGCCTCGCCGCGTCCGGAATACCCCCGGCCAGTTCCGCCCTGTCACTCCCGGCCGCCATCGCCTCGGGCGCCACCCCCACGTCCCCGCCCGAGCTAAGCCCCACGGAAACCCCACTAGGACCACCTCCGTCCCCGGGGACCCGACCAACGCCGCCCCCCGTGTCACCCCCCGCCCCCAGTGAGTGGAGCAGTGCTTGAAGTGTGCTAACTAAGGAGCTGGAGTGTAGTGACCCACAAGACTCACCGGCCAAGCCCCCTGATACTGGAGCGGCAGGGGCTGCGTCGTCGACTGCCCGATGTCCAGGGAGAGCGACTCCCGCCGATACCTCGCCAACCGGGGAGCCAAACCGGTGCCTTGCCCGTGTCGATATGGAACGGCTCCGTGACCTGGAAAGAGGAGAAGAGGTCCTGGGTAGGGTGCACTGAGTACCTGCTTCCCCCCGTCCCGACCCTGGGAGCGCCTGCCCATTGCCAAGGCCTCCCGCTGCGCCCCCCGCGTGCACTGCGCGCGGGAGCCCCTAGGGCTACGACTCCTCCTGTCCCCTCCTGGTAACCGTCCCCGCCGACCACCCCTGGGGACGCTAGCCCTGCCCTCCCCTGAGCTACCTGACGTGGAGCGGTGCTGCCGGGACCTCCCCCTCCTCCCCCTGGGCTCTAAGTCCCGAACTGGAGAGAGACTACCACTACCAGACCCTGAACCAGAACCCCCCTCCTACTACCCTGCACCCCCAAACGCTCACCCTTCCAGCGAGAGCCCGACCCCCCACCCGAAGTGGCTCCCAGACTAAGGGCACCCGGACCCCCCTCAACCATACTGGCTGAGGAAGCCCCCCCAACCCCTAAACCAGGCCTACCCGACCCTACCTGCCCAGGCCTAGCCCCAGCACCCGTGGAGGCCCCCCTCCCCCCACCAGGTGAGCCCAGCAGCCCCTCACCACCCCCAGCCCCCTCTCCCCTACTACTACTCCCCCCACCTGTGGCCCCTGTGCCCCCCCCATTCAGCACCAGTGATCCCAGGGGGGCCTTCCCGCCCCCCACCTGGGCCCTCCGACCCCCACCCCCTGCCAAGACCCCCCCAGCGCTTCTCCCGCCAAGGGGGCCCCGGCCGGAGCCCCCTGCACTTGCCTTTGGGGCCGGGAACCGGCCACGTGTCCTCCCGGTCCCGGCACCGCCGACCTCCGCCTCCGACGGGGTGGGCGACCTCCCGGGCCGCACCTCCATGCCGCCTGCTCCTCCAGGGGACCGCCCGGCCACGTCCGACCCGGCAGCCGCGACGGCCCCGTCTCGACCGTCCCCCCGGCGCCGGGCACTGGTCCTAGGCCCCGGCCGCTCGCGGGGAGGCGGGGCCTCTACCACGCGGCTGCCGGGCCTGCTGCCGCCCGCACCGGAGCCTCCCGGACCACCAGGGACGTCTTCACCGGGTCCCCCACCCGGGCTTAGTCTCTCCGGAGGCCTCCTGGCCCGAACAGGCCTGCCACCGCCGCCGTCCCGGTTCGCCGCCTCCGCCAGGGCCGGGCCTAGCTGGGCCCTCAGCCAGTCAGCCCCCTAGTGCCTCGCCGCCGACCGGATCTCCTCCAGCAGTCGCTCCACTTCGTCCATCGGTCCTGCAGGGAGACAAAAGAAGAAAAAACCCTACCAAGCCAAATCTGTGCCCACAGGAGCGAACACAAACTTAACCAGGTAGGAAATTAGAATGACTTACCTAAAATGGCTGCCCATTTAAATAACCAAACCTACTTACCCATAACTCCACTCCCTTGCTTACTTCCTCCTAAGCCCGCCTCCTAACCCCTGTCAAGGCCTTTTTCCGCTTAGCTGCGCCTGGCTACATGGGGCTACAATACTTTCCACCATGTAAAACGTGCTAAGCCTTCATTACATAGATACTATGTATTAATGTAATCTCTGGGCATATTATACATAAACACATGTATATTAATATATGTGTAAATATTATAGGCATAATAATACATATATTGTTAATACACAAATATGAATATATATACATATTACTCTCAGAATTTACATTAAACATTCTCTCCAAAACCAGAGAGCTCTGAGGTTGCATAGGCCCTGGTTGTTGCAAGCTGTGCTGGTCACCTGGCGCCCCTCTTGCTATGATGCCCTACAGGCCGCACAGGTCACACAACTCTAAGGCCGGTCCTGAGTGCAGATATCTCTGTATGTGAAGCATTTCAAACAGAAATACTGCACATATAGATTCCCATCACCATGACCATTTCTAAACGCACAAGTGGTCATTGAGGCTGACGTAACCCTTTAATTGTTACTACTCTCAAGGTTTTAGCTTGGAACGTTCGTGCCAAAACCAGGAAGTTTCAGAAATTTCAAGTGAGACCCATCTTTCTCATTTTAGCTTCACTATCTACCTACCCAGTTCTAACCCCAATCAGAGAATGTCTTCCTACCTTAGGAAAGACTGTCGTGTTTGTGGCCAGCCATTCCCCTATTTTTGCTAGCTCCACCTCCCCTAACTTTTGTCGGTGACGGGTACCGTTAGGATTTGTGGGAACATTTGGCAATGGTGAAACTGCAGTAGAACTGTTAAACACGGCAAATAACGTTTTAGGCCTTTTAGGTTTTGGCCTGGATTTTGTTCTTGTCCGTAACAACAGTAACTTTTCATCTGTATCCCAGATTGCCGAAGAAGGTGAACAGGGACAAGACGCCAGATTTGTAATGTTGGTTGACTTTGAATTAAAGTTGTGACATTTGTAAATTTTGTAATATAGAGACGTGAAAATATAGAAGTTTCTTTTTAATTAATTAATGTGTTGCTTTGTGGGCATTGTGAAAACTTAACAAAGTCTGTAATATATATAAAAAACATAAAACGCCAACATCTGTTTTGTCTTTTGTTTGAGATTTTCTAAGCTAAGGTAACCCCACTAACAGGCCAGTTAGGAAACTGCCTAAAGCTTCACACATGCTGGGATCTTGCACCAAGCTAGGGGTGAACTGAGCACTCATTCCTTCATTTATGGACGAATATACACAGTACATGAAGTGGGAGGAGGGGAATCCAAACAAATTGATTTTATTATTGCAGGTGGCAAGAAGGTGCTTAATTGGCACGGAGGAGGAAGTGAAGACGAGAAGATTGGAAATAGCTCACCTATATAGCGGAGGACTGTAGATACTAAACAGGTAATGGCGAGAAAATCAGAAAGAGGGGAAATGCAGAGAGAAGGGGTGATGGAATGGAAAAATACATTCACATACACAAAATACATGGAAATGCCTACAAACGGCACACTTAAACTGCATACACACACCGACACTCTACAGACACACCCATATTTACACACTGCAGAAAAATACCCCACATTCACAAACAGAAACGCACCCAACACTCACAAACTGTACACCACAGAAATACATCTCACATTCACACACATACCTCAGAAATACACCCCACATTCACACACTGACACCAATTCAAATTTACACACTAACGTTTCTGTCTGTGCTGAACCACATGCACACAGGGCCGGATTAACATAGGGGCTGATGGAGCTGCAGCTCCAGGCCCAGGCCCATGGAATAGGCCCATTGATTCAAAAAAAAAAAAAAAAAATTTTTTTTTTTTTTACATTTTTTTTTTCACACACTACTCTTAGGGATTCCACCTGGCTTTTATTTTATTGGCACAGACAGTATTTGAGGCTGCCTGGCTGGTGCCAATATTGCAGTGATACTGGCAATACAAATGCTGGTATTTTTCTCAGTATAAACAAGAGATTACTATGCAATATCAGTACTGACCAGTAGGGGTCGCTGTATGTGGAGACAGGCAGGGATAGGAAGTTCCAGCATATTCCTCCCTGCCTATCTATACTCACTGATCTGCAGGGGTGCAGCTACAGAGAGTCCAGACAGCAACTCCCACCCTGCAGAGACAGCCTACAGCTCAGGGAAGTAAGGGATGGGGAAAGGCTGCAAGGAGACATACACTGAGACACTAAGGGACACTGGGAGACATTATGGCAGACACTGAGACACTAAGGGACACTGGGAGACATTATGGCAGACACTGAGACACTAAGGGACATTGGGAGATATTATGACACAGACACATGGGGACACAGTGTCCCCATGTCTCCCAGTGTCCCCATGTCTCCCAGCCAGTGTCCCTGGTGTCTCAGTGACCCCTAGTCTCCCAGTGTCTCACTGTCCCCATGTCTCCTAGTGCCTCCATGTCTCTCATTGCCTCAAGTGTCACAATGTCCCCATGTCTCCAAGCTAGTGTCCCTAGTGTCTGTGGCTGCTGTGTCTCTGTGTCCCCATGTCTCAATGTACCCATGTCTCCCAGCCAGTGTCTCTAGTGTCTGTGTCCCTGGTGTCTGTCCCCATGTCTTCAAGTGTCCCCTGGGGCACTGAAACACTGATACATAGGAACACTGAGACCTGGAGTAATCGACACATGGGGGCACTGAGTCATGAGGGCACTGGGAGGAATCCATCTATACAGCAGAATCAAACTAAGTAGTTTTTGGTGATTTTACAGCATTTTCTCTTATGTCACTCCTTGTGATTTACATCATGTGATGTCATCCATACATATTTAATTATGCAAATTAGTAAGGCCGGTATGTTTTTACAAGAAAGGTGGCAACCCTATCTACTTTTCACATACTCTTAATTAAGTATGGAAACTTAAGAGGGATGTATGGGAACAAAACTTGTGTGGACTGGCTGACAATGAATATAGTTAAAGGGACACTATAGTCACCAGAACAACTACAGCTTATTGAATTTGTTCTGGTGAGTAGAATCATTACCGTCAGGCTTTTTGCTGTAAACATGTCTTTTCAGAGAAAATGCAGTCTTTACATTACATCCTAGTGATAACTTCACTGGCCACTCCTTAGATGACTGTTAGAGATCCTTCCTGGGTCATGGCTGCCTAAAATGCATCCAAACATTCAGTGTCTCCTCCGTCTGCATGTAGACACTGAACTTTCCACATAGAGATTCATTAATTAAATTAATCTATATAAGGAGATGCTGATTGGCCAGGGCTGTGTTTGAATCATGCTGGCTCTGACCCTGATCTGCCTCTTTGTCAGTCTCAGCCAATCCTATGGGGAAGCACTGTGATTGGATCAGGCCACCACTTCTAATGATGTCAACAGACTGCTTGTTTTTATGAGTCTAACAGCATGCAGAGTTACAGCTTTGGCTTGAATATAGTAAGATTTTGCTATATTTATGGAGGCGCGAGGGGTCCAGGGGGGCTAGATGGTGGTGTTAACACTATAGGGTCAGGAATTCATTTTTGTGTTCCTGACCCTATAGTTATCCTTTAAGGTAATGCTGACTTTGGTCTCTCTAACACTGTGGCATGTTCCCTTTCTTCTACACTCACTACATACAGCTTTTCTCTGTCCCAGACCATGTACCAGGAGCTTCTGCCTGCTAGTAAGAAGGTAAGGAGACAAGTGGACCAGCGAGTGCTAGGGGACAGTCCTTAGAAAGCGTTGAGTGAGCGCATCATTAGATGCATTTATGCCAAGCTCAGGGTGCTGTCTGCATAGTATGCCCTTAGTTGGCCAGCTGCATGATTGGCAGGCAGCCTGACATGCATTCATACCAGGCTGGCCTTCTAATTCTTTGGGCAGACATGTCCTCTTTTTGGGCATGTTCGCCCCTTTTGGCAGGTTACGTGATTTGTGTCAGTGGCACACCCTTTTACCGTGCCCATTGACTTCCTGCTTGACTGGACACTGCTGTTAGGGATTATGGATTTACTTGAAAGATGAAAACATAAATTAGTGAGAGATTAGCCCAGGGTATGTGTTTTCTTATAGCTGCTGTTTTCTTTCTCTCCAGCACCATCTCCATCAGGTATATGATGCTTGGGAGTGTTTTACTGTTTTTGGTCAAGATAATTAGGCCCGTCATAATTGTCAGCACCAGGCCCACTGGGCTCTTAATCTGGCCCTGCATGCACACAATCGTTTGCATTCACTTTAAGGGGAGGGGATGGTAGAAACAGAGCTTAAATAGAATCACTTATTTAAAAATCAGACACACAGGTTAGTCACTAAAGTAAGAACTATTGGGAATTCAAACCGAGTTGTATACAAATTCACCTGTTCTATAGCAAGAATATACAACAGAGGTCACCCATTAAGACTGGAAGAAAGAAGTTTTCACTTACAGCAGTGGAAATGGTTCTTTACAGTAAGAACAATACAAATATGGAATGCTCTGCCCAAAGAGTCTTATTAGATTCTATAGATGCTTTATTTTATTTATTTAAAAGGCTTGGATTTTTTTTTGCAAAAACAAAATAATCAAGAATATAACTAATATTTTTGTGTAAAGGTTGTTGATCCAAGAAAAAATCTGACTGCCCAAAATGAAGAAGATTTTCCCCCTTTTTTGTGGCATAATTGGAAAATGCTTTCAATTGGGAGGGGATGTGTGGCTTCATTTGATCAAGAGCACGTGGAAAAAATGTGTTTTAAAGATTGAACTCAATGGATTTGAGTCTTTCTTCAACATAAATTACTATATAACAATCTAACTATGAATTTCAAATTTTAGGCCAAATTGGCGGAGTTAGAAAAATTATTAATTTGTTCTAAAATTAAAAATTCTATACAATTCACACGTTAGTAAATAACCCTGATAAGTATATGAGGCCAACAGGAAGGTAAAGTTATCTAATAAATGATGTTAGGTTGGACAGACACTTTGCTAAGCTGTAACCTCAGTAATATTAAACACTGGATAAAATCGGCTAAATGCAAGACGTCGGTTCATCAGATAGACAAATTAGCAAATGTTTATGTTGATGCACAAATGTGTGGCTTTCTCATCGTTTCATACCTCCAAATATAAACACAAAAATATAAAACATTGTGTTATCTGAGATTAAAGAAATAAATAGTAATGTCCGTGTTGCTAGATGATCACTTGCAATTTTAGAGCCAAGTGTTTCTGGATCAAATGGAATAGAGGAAGGTGTCTAACTGAATTCCACCACACCTTTCATTCATATGTCTTCTTGCAGGGAATACTTCAAAATTCCGCCCGGGCGTCTGTGATGTCAGCCCTTTAGTTAAGGCGGACGTCCGAGGAAGCATTGAAGCCGGCTGCAGTGGGGAACATTTGAGCCAGCCGCCCTGTGGAGCATGGAGGCTGCTGCCTGAGGCAGCAAGGAGGTGGCGAGTGAGGGAGCCTTAATCTACCTGCAGCTCCTCTCTGCTCCTTCGCGCACTGTTTAATGATGCCGGGAGCTGGAATATGAGGTCACTGTGGATCAGCATCACTAGAAAACTGCGGGGCTGCCTCTCATCATCTTCCAGTTTCAGAAACTGCTGTTGCAGCTGCTGGCATGGTTCCTGAAGCCTGGTTCTTAAATGAAACCGTTGGCGATCAACAACCAGACCTGCAAGGAGAAGAAGGCCCCTGTGACCCACTCTGTCCTCTGCCACCAACTCCTTCTAGGCTGCTGGTACTCGCCTGTCACTCCAGCTGCCAAAGGACTCCTGTTCCACTTCCTTGATGATTACTGGATCTGCTATGTTCTAATCTGACCCCTTTTCTGTCAGTATTAAGCCTCCTGTCTTCCTGAACAGCACCCGTGATGTCCTGGGGCCCTGATGTGATGCTTTTGCTGCCTAGGCCCTTTAGGCTTGCACTGTCTGCCATGCTCAGCAATGCTCTCAGTGATTTCAGCAGCTCCTGAACCCAGTCAGCTCCCTTCTCCTGGACTGCTCTCTGGATTCCCCCCAGTATGGCTGCAAACAGGGCCGGCGCTACCTGTAAGGCGGACTAGGCAGCCGCCTAGGGCGCCCCTTGGGAGGGGGCGCCGTCAGGAGCGC